TGCATGAGTATGGCTCTTCTGAGTACTGAAAACAATGTTGCATGTACTCTTAAAGTTTACTAACCAGGTATACTCCAGAGGATTTCCAACCTATTAGGTTTTAGTTGTTTTCCTAGTTGGTATTTCATTAAATTTTATTTCAAACATTTTAGATTTTTATTCAATTAAAGACTCAGGGAGGCAGTTTTGCACATCTCCAAAACTCTGTTTGTGTGTGTACCTAACCCTATCTTTTTGGATATTCTGCCTCACAAAATTTAGCCAACGTCCTTCCTTAGTTCTAATTTCTCTTTTCAACTCAGCTAGATCCCTGGGCTCTGTCTGAGTTTCCCTTCATCCGCTGTGATCTGCAAACTTCCCCCAAAGTGTAAGCTGTACAAATTTTAGGATTCGCCTCACTTATTTTCCTAATCTCAGAGATCGAGGTTGTGCCCTGTCTCTCTTCCAATGCGTAAAATTTGCTCTTTTGTATTTTGTTCAATTTTATAATGTTTTTGGCAGAAAGACAGTTCTTACAGCAGTTAAGCTTTCATGGATAGGAGAATTTCACCAGAGTTTTGATGGACGTGAAGGAAAAGATTTCTAGAGGAAGAAACATGGTCCTAGGAGTAAAACTGAGTAGAGAATTGAAGCAGAGAACTCTTAGAAACCATGTTATAGCAATAAATGGTGCCCATGGATGAAAGAAGCAAGGACATTTTTTACTTCTCAATTTTTTTCATGTCAAATGTTTACATACATCTCCATGGAAAATTCTATGGAGCTTTCAGCAAAGCTCTGCAAGGAATCATTGTCCCAAAATTCCAATTTCCAATTTCTGAACTGCTGGAGGACAGAGATTTTTGGTTTGGCCTTAAGAAAATGTAAGATTGGGTTCCAGTTTTTCCCTCCATCCCTTTCCTGCTGCTCTTTTTTTGAGGGGATTTTGTTTTCCAACCAGTTTGGTGCCTCATCTCTTAGCCCTTGTCTCTAGCCCCTTGCATTTAAGATGGTACCATAGCCTGCCACAGGTTTATTACTTTTTGACCTTAAACAATTAGGGAGCTGGGTATTTCTCTAGCAGAATGGGTTTATTCAGGAATAACAAAGAATTGAGATTAGGGACACACAGGTTTAATGACGAACCATGCACAAGCCCAGAGAAACAAAGAATAGGAACGCTCTTTAATGGACTTTGTAGAGCTATTGTAAATAAAAAATTCATTGGAGGAAACTGAAAATTCAACATATGGTGACTTTTTATTGGCTAAGTTCTGGCAGTCTCCCATTCGCTGAGCTGTTACTGAGCAAGGAGGAATCTTTTCTTCCTCTGCCAAGGTAGTAACGTAATATCACTTCCAGGAAGAGATGAAAGATTCATCTCTTCCTTTTGGGGTAAGCAGTGTGCCATTGAGTGACATGTGCCTGAGACTTCTGTCTTCTAGCCTCCCGACTCCATTTTAAATGAGGTTTCTGTTTATGACTTTCACACTATCAGGCTTCCTACTGCTGCATTAAACCTATTTATACTTTAAGAATATTCTATATTTATATCATATTTTGGAAAGGGCTCTCCTACACATATTTGAAAATGCAAACTCTAGGATAGATCTTATTTTCATAGCTTCAAATACCACCTATAAATTGAGAATTGCCAAAGCAGTAAGTGTACCCACAGTTTTTCTCTTAAACTTCAGATCCCTATATCCAACAATTATCCGACTACTTCTACTTAGAAAAATTCAATAAACTCTAAAATAAATTCATCAAGTTTACCCACTAAATATATTGTTGAAGGCAATATCCTTTCATGATTAAGGCTAGAAAGTAAGGATAGGAAGGGTAGAAATTGCTAGATTTCACTATAAGCATTTTGATATCTTTATAAAAAGTATACATTGAAATAAAGAACAAACTAGCAGTTACCAGAGAGGAGGGGGTGGGGGTAATGGGAGAAAGAAGGGGAAGTTTCAAGTCAAGGAACATGTATAAAGGACCGATGGACAAAGCCAAAGAGGGTAGCACTGAAGGTGGGAGGTAGGACGTGGGAGGTGGGAGTGGGTGGGACAAGGGAAAGCGGTGGCGGGAAAATGGAGACAACTGTACTTGAACAACAGTTTTTAAAAGGACACGTTAATTAGTTTTGTACAATTTTAAAAATATTTAAAACAATGACAAAGAAAAATTGTCTCTCCTGTCTTGAAAAGAAGCACATCCAAAATAAAATTACAGTTCTGACCCCATGGGGAAGTGCAAAGCGCTGTGTAAGGTGTGGGACCCCAGTCACCTGATGGCACCAATAGAAGGGATATTTTATCCCTCATTCTGTGTGTACTCTTTCCCTTGCCCAATAGCGTAATGTAAAATAGACCTCTTCAGGTTTTTCTAATTTAAATGTGTAGGCTAAACTGAATTCCATGGCAAGAAGACAAATCTTACCATTGGAGTCTATTTAGTAATGGACTTTGATAAAAAAGAAATTTTCTCAGTTCTAAGTAACAAGTCATATGGCATGGTTCCTAATGAATGACGTGCAGTGGTGAAAACAATTCCTAAGGTATGATGACGATGATTGTTTTTCCTCCTTCGGTTTATATAATAAAATTTAAAACATCCTTTCAAAGTGAAGACAATTATACTTTTAATTTTTTAATTTTGTTAAGCATATTCAATTAAGGCTGTCAACATAGCACAGTTGATTCTGTTTCTGTTATTTGGCAATCTGGTATTACAGGCCTTGAAAAAAAATTATGCTCTGGTTCAAGAAGATTTGTGTTATTAACTATACCGAGACACAAGGGAAAGGTTGAAGATTAAGTTGAAGAACTTAAATGTTCACTCTCAATTTACTTGCTTTCAGAGACCCAAGTTAAGTAACTAAGTGTATTTTAAGGCACATGTGGTCATCGATTTTGTTTAATTTAGATGAGGCAACTTCGACTATGTGTATTATGATTTCATCTTGAAATATTTCTGGTGTTGTATTGCTTCAAGTGGTCTAAGGAGAATCGATTACTCATCTTGAACCATTTTCTCCCTGTAGTTCTAAGTTACAGCAAGCAGTACATCATAGTGGTCAGGCCCTATGTTTTGATTTAGTGAGACTTTGCCTTCTCCTTTATACTAGCTTTCTAAAAGCTCACACACTTGTAGCCATTGTATTTCCTGCCCCGAGACCTTTCTTTCACATAACAAATACTTCTGAACTATTATATTTTCTTCTAACTTATTCTTACCAACACATATTCTTTTATCTTTACTCTTCTGGAGCTAGTGAGAGCAAGTCAGTGTAAATGAATCCAAATGTTTGCCATTTTCTTTTAAAGGGGCCTGGGCAATTGCGACAACATTTTTATGTTCATTTACATTTAGTTTCCATTGGTACATTTCTCCTTAAACTGCACATTATAAACAAAGCCAATCTTATGTTTGATACTTCTCTGACATTTGAGAGTCAAGACCAGTAATTTTGTTTTGTTTCAGCCTACAAACAAGTGACAGAAGTTCGTTTCTAGGATTCTAAAGATTAGAAGTATTCAAATATTGTTTTATAAATATTTTTAAATGGTCATCTATTAAAAATAGCCAATGTATTATAATAGTTAAAGAATTAATTATGTAAATGCAGAACTGAAACATTTGTTTTAGGGTCTGGAAGAGTAAGTGAGGAACAAAGTGGGTGTGGTGAGGAATGGGAACAAAAGTCATTTTTTAAAGTCATTTGGATTTGTGAACTATATGATATATTCACTATTTGAAATTATATGATATTTGGCTTCTGGCAGTGGCATTAGTCATTAGCAAAAGGGCTAGAAATGGAAGGTAAGTGTGCAATCAGTGGCCCAATTTGTGTGACCTAGATAGTATGTTGTCTATTTTAATGACAATTGAGAGTGCTGTAAAAATTGAATGGGTTTCATGAAACAAAGATAATTTGCCACAGAACAGGAGATCCTCCAGATGTACAGGCTGAAGGAAACATTTGAAAAGGAAAGACATAATGAGAGGAATCAGATGACACTGACGGATGTTTCCAAAAGAGCTGTCACATCATCCTTCCCTTTGGTTTCTGCAGATGCTGTTAGAACGAGTCCTGATGATGAGTGATTTTACTTGAGCACTATCTGCAGATCAACAAGTATTCTCTCGAAATAAAGTTCCTTCCTGCCTGTTTTTTGTCTTGTTTTTTCATTGAGCACAATGCCGTTTGCCATACTGAAGGGGGAAAAAGTAAGTATTGCAAATTCAGCATAAGATGAAAGACTTGCAATGCAATAATTTTTTGCTCTCTGTTTGTTAAATACCTAGGATTTATTTTTGCTCCACTTTTAGTTAAGCCTTTTGTTTTCATATATATAAAATAATAAACACTTACTATATTCTTCAATTGGCCTTTATGGTATATTTATAGAGAATAAAAGTTGTTTAGAACAAATATTATTCATAAACTTTTGAACTGCTTATCACACATCAATATTATATAAATATAATGAATACCACAATATCTTCTTTATCCTTTATTATTGTGCTCTTCAGAATGTAAGCTGTTAAATCATCAAAACATTAAACTAGAACACAGCATGACATAGACATCTAAGCAAAGTAATATTTTAATGGGATGTAGCATCTTACCACATTCTAATTTATATTTATAAAGAATATTAGGTTGGAAATAGCTCATTTTTCAAGTGAAAAAGTTAGATTGATAAAAATCTAGAGATTTTTCTCAACATCACAGAACTAACGAGTAGGTTAAGCACTGGAATGAGGTTTTTCGTCCTTTTGGCCCAGTGTTCTGGTGTCTAACTCACAAAGCCAACAGGCTTTTAGGAAGATTCTTCTGTAAAAGTTATATACATTTGAACCTGTCCAGCTAATCTTAAGACACACTCGTGTTTTGACATTGGGTTTAATCAGGAAAAAATATTTAAGTCATAAGAATGTTGGCTATTATTAGACATAGGAATGGCTCCTGGACAGTCCAAGTTTAGAATCAAAGGATAAAGGAATGTCAGGGGGAAAAGTCACTGGGAAGCTGCTTGCAAACCAGTTCTAGAGCAAACCAAAATAAACAACAAAAATATTTAGGAAAGAAGATCATTTCGGATACAGAGAAAAATGGTAAGCAATGAAAAAAGTACAACATATTTAGGACTGACTAAATGTTGATATCTAACGTTGACTAACTAACTAAACTGGAACTAAAAAGCCAGATTATCCAAACATAGGTGTAGGCAAGGATGGAGTGAAAAAGGAGGCAAATGAAAGCATGATAAAATTCTTGCCTTATTCGGGAAGAGGTTATGATTAGTGATGAACTTTAGATTTTGATATAAGACTGTCGTGTGCTATAAACAAAAGGAAAATGTGAAGAATGAAATAAGATACATAATTTCCAAGTTACCCAGATGATATCAAAGAAACAAGGGAGATGAATACAGTAAAAATACTGAAAATGAAAGGATAAGAATCAACAGACAAGGCAAACTGTCAAACCACTGTAGGCTGATTGATGTTAACCTGAGATACAATATGCAATGTCCAAAGATCCTAAAGGAAGAGATTTTTTGTAGTAAAACAAGTTATGCTAACAAGATTATAAGGAGAAAATAACAATCATTAATTAAAGGCTTTAACATGATTTTTCTCAAATCAGCAGAACAAGTTTTCCAGCCATTTTCACATCACACAGTAGGATCTTTATGTGAGGCTAATTGTATTTACATATTTATTTATATAAACCATTTAAAGATTTTAAAACCAACTTTTTTATTATTTTATTGTATTTTTTCATTACTGTTTAGTCCCTTATGCTGCACCACCCCCCCCATCACCATACTGGTGTCCATGTCTGTGAGTCCTTACTCTTTTTTGCTCAACCCCTCCACCTTCTACCCTCCTCTGCCTTTGCTGTCAGCCTGCTCTCTATCTGTGAGTGTGACTCTATTTTGTCTGTTAGTTCAGTTTGTTCATTAGATGCCATAGATGACTGAAATCGTATGCTATTTGTTTATCTCTGACTGACTTTCACTTAGCATAATACTCTGAAGGTCCATCATACTACTGCAAAGGGTAAAACTTTCTATTTTCTTATGGCTAAGTAGTATTCCATTGTGTAATTGTCCTATAGTTATTCATCTAGTCATCTGCTGAGGGACACTTGGGCTGCTTCCATATCTTGTAAATAATGCTGCAAAGAACATGGGGTCCTTATGTTCTTTCAAATTAGTGTTTTGGGTTCCTTTGGATATATTCCCAGAAGTGGGATTGCTAGGTCAAAAGGCAGATCCATTTTTAATTTTTTGAGGTATTTCCACACTGCTGTCCACAGTGGCTGCCCCAGTCTACATTCCTACCAACACTGTAAGAGAAATAGAACCAATATTTTTAACATGGTAGTCTGTTAAATTCAATACCTTAGATTGCCCTTAACTTGCATTCACACTTAAATCCATGCTGTTTGATGTCATCCTGGAGTGATGAACTTTCAGCTTGTTGAAATGTTTGCTTTTGTTTCTGGCAATGAACTAGAAGAAGGGCATGTGTGGAGAAGGATAAACCCCACTTCAGAAGTTTTCAAATCATAATAAACAATTTTTCATTCTTTGTCAGCATGTACACAGCATTTATGTGAATCTGTGGACTAACCAGATTCTTGATGATGAAGGTTTTTGAAATATGTAGCAGCTACAATGGCCAAATAATTCTAAATGAGAAATCTAACTCTAAAAATATTAAGAAATTCTTCGGTGTTTCAGTTATAAACTTTCTTTATGTTAACTGAGATTTTAATCTTGGAAACACCCTACTATGTCCCATTTCTCATTTTATCGCCCCATCCGATCTTTATTTTGTTTTAATAACACAAAGGAATGGCAATTACAGTGATTACACTGAAGACTCACTCCTGGGGCCCAAGCTGCAGGACCATCCGCATCCCAGTAGGAGGACGATAATTAACTCCTGCTCAGCTAGGTCCCACGTGTGTCTTGTCCCATGACAGGAAAAACTCAGAATCAAGAAAAACTTTCACAAAAACAAACGGTGTCTGAATTGTAAGACTAACCTGACTGGAACATTTCTACCCTGAGCTTTCCACAATATCGATGTCTGTTATGACAAAATTCCTACTATCATGGGTCACAACCTTGCACTATAAATGCACTGTTGGATTCAAAAATATTAACAAAATGCCAGACATAATGTCTCCATAACATTTATATATAATTTTACTATCTAGTTATTTGAGGGAAATAATCCATGTACAGGTAATCTCTCTCCTAACAAAAATTTTCTAATTAATCCACTAATATACCCCAGTGCAGCTAAGACAGAAAAGTATTCATTCCCCAACAAAAATCTAAAATATACATTTCCATTATTTTTTAAGAAAGCCAATTATTTTTTTGAATATACAACTTAGGGAATTTTATAACAATAATATTTGTAAAAATAGGTTGCTTACTTATAAAGTTGCTCTTTAAAATAAATAAATGACACTCCTACACTATATTTAGTCTCGAATAGTCTCACATACCCGTATGCGATGAAACCTGTTTTGATATTAAAATTATTAAGGATTGCTCATTATTAAGCTCCTAAACAGCCTTCTAATTTTTAAACAGTAAAAGTTTGAATCTTGTGGGGTGAAGCAGGCTTGGCAGATGGGTGGAGAAAGCAGAACAACACACAAAGCCCAAAGAAATGCCTGGAATGTGATTGATTTTTGGACTTTGTTCAAACACATAGGGTGGCGCCTGCAGAGGAGGCTGCAGAGGGAGAGAATATAATAACAAATCAGATTTTGCTGTTTTACATTTTAAACAGCAATCTTATAACAAAGTGAAATAGTCGTGAATTTCGTTTACAGTGTGTTCAAAAATAGTTCACCTTAAGTGCTCTCAGATATTTCTCTTGCCCTTATCACCTTAACTGGTCACTCGCCCAGAATGAGCTGTGTTTATAAATCATGAGATGCTTCTTCCATGACTTGAGTGGCCTCTAAACTCATGTGAAATTTATATGTTTAAGTCTTGTCCAAAATGAATCACATCTGTTTTTCTGGAAACTGTGGCCAATTTAAAACAGTCAATACAAAATGAGAGCTAAAAATGCTTTCACTGGCTTAATGGTGCAGAAGAAAAGGATATACAATTTTGACTCTATGGACAGGACCCCATTATTTCTGCAGTTCTGATAGCAGCAAAAAGCACTAAAACTGAAATTTGGACACATGTCACCAAGCGGCAAAGTGGTTTCAATCATGAAGTAAAGAGAATCACTCTTTCTCTGTTATAACAAAAATAAAATCCCTCATGCTAACTATGAATGAGATTAGCAAGGAAAGTTTTCAGAGACCTGATCTGAAGGAAACTGTCATTAATTACAGGCAAGCTTATTATACGAATGGAATCATAGTAAATCAAGTCCACCTCAAATAGCCCTGAAAAGCTAGAATACTTACATTACTTTTTTATTCTTTTTATTCCATATAGTTCTTTAGAGAACTTTGTTATTTCCTGATTCTTGTTTGTTTTATGGTGTTTTATTGCACAGGAATTTATTATTACACTGAAGAAAATACTGTAATATTAGTTTTGATAGGATAGTCTGTGTTCACAACTACACTCCCAAAACAAATAAATGAACAAAAAAATAGAGACTTACTTTTCACATCCTTAATAGTTTAAAGAAGGGGCTACTTTTCAGCTAGCAGCTGTTGTAGTAATTCAGATACCCATGTGCCTTTCTTCTTTTTACCACAATACTCTGCTTGTCCAAAGACAGTGTTCCTCCTCCTCTTTTTCTTCTTCTTTTTTTTTCACTTTTTTGCCATGGACCCATCTTTCATTCTGGTAAAGCCTAAAGGACCTTTTTCTTTCTTTTTTTTTCCTTTTTTATTGTTGTTCAAGTACAGGTGTCTCCATTTTCCCCTGACCACTCCCCGCCCCCCCAGCCATCCCCACCTCCCACCCTGGATCCTACCCCCCTTTGGCTCTGTCCATGGGTCTAAAGGCCCTTTTTAAGTATAACATTTTTAAATACGTAAAACCCATAGGATTATAAAGGAAAGCAATTATTATATATTATAGATTCATGTATATTGACATAAATTTATCAAAATGTATATAACATGAATTTATGACTGTAAATCAGGAGTAAATACAGGGGTGGGAAAAAGTAAGGTTTATTTTTGTATTGATTGATATTTGTGTTATTATTTATTAATTATTGTACTATTTTTCATGTCAACAACTGTAAACCTACTTTTGCCCACCCTGTATGTGTTTTTTAATTAACATTAAATGACTACATCTAGCAGCCTAGATTCAATAACCACCAAAATTTTGAAGTAGCGATGAGGGTAAACAATATTTTGAAATATCTATAGCAACAGAAATGTGATATGAAATATCTGTGATTTCAACTGGCAACCAAATCACAAGTATTTCAATAATACTAGTGGGATTTTTTTGACTGCCATCATGAGTGAAAGAAATGCTAACTCACAGCTAGAGGCTAGTTAAAAGGTGTATCTTCTTTTCATCCGAGTTTACAAACCCCCTGAATTCTGTTCACAGGCCCCCAAGGGCTAAGAGCCTCTGCTCTTTTATCCTCCAGTCCAGCAGGAGGGAAAGTGAAAATGAAAGAGGTTTTCTCCTTGACAAATTTTGTCCCCCAAATGGCACATATGACTTTTCATTGGCCAGAATTCAATTATAGAGCCTCATCTCACTAGGAGGGAGAGGATGTGAGGGCACTATAGGTTTTGGTTAGTAAGTAGTAAGCAAACAGGATTTATAAGATATCTTTAAAAATTACTTTCTCCAAGTCATGCTTGGACTTGGGTGTTGTACTTCATTAAATAAGTCAACAAACAACTCTTAGTCATGGGATGTACCGTGGAGCTGGCTTTGTCCTAGGTGCTGGGAGTATGTAGTCAGTAACTGGGTAAGGTCCTTTTGTTCATGGAGACTTCATTCTTATTGGGTTAAAGGAGTGGGAGAAAAATGCACAAACAAGGAAGTATGTAATAAGTCTCACGGCGTGACATATCTGAGACACCATCTAAAAATCAATGAAGATTTAAGTTTCTCGATTCAAACTTTTCTTGTGCCTTCTTTTAAGTCATGCCAAATATTTAGAAGGTCACAACTATTAAAAAGGTGAATAGAAAAAGCTCAGCCTAAGTAAGACCACCAAATTCTTAGACATAGGCCCATGCTAAGGCATAGACTGAGCAGAGAATATTTTATAGTAGTCCAGTCACTTCACAAATTTAAAAGGAGTCCAGTTTAAATCCTATTAGATCCTTAGCTCTTTAAAATTGTCTTTGCATTTTGTTTTCTGTGCTCTTACTGTTTTCATCCTTTTAGCTTTAGTTTTTGTGCCTTTTTTGATTTATTGGCTACCTTAATAAAATGTACTGGCAAGATGGGATTAAAATTACTATTACAGTAATGCAGCCTATGGATCAAGTATTATTATCTGGCTCTTGAGCATGGTAGCTTCAGAAACAAGCTGATTTTTTTTGCCTAATAGTAACTCATTAATGAGTTATATTCATATGAGTTACAGTTGTATGAGTTGCAGAGAAGCAGATAAGTGCCTGATGGAGCTCAAACAAAACCTGAGAGCAATGTCAAGGAGGAAAAGAATGATGAGCCTTGGAAAAAGATATTTCTAAGTGAAGTTAAAGTTTGGGCTGGGATTTTGGAAATAGTACTTCCGCAGGTAGAGACTGAAGGCACTGGCGTTTCAGAAAACATTGTGAATGGAGGAATAGAGGAAAAAATATGTTGTAGCAAGGGTGACTGCCCTGTGTTGACTATAATACAAGCTTCACAAAGAGGAATGAAGCGGGTCCTATCTGGAAAAAGTTATAAGGGTCAGCTCATGAAAGACCTTGATGTTCTGCCAAACTTTTGGTATGTAAACACACACACAAACCACACACACACACACACACACACACACACACACACACACACACACACATCCCTGGTAACAAAATAACTGATGATAGCAGGCGGAAGAGAGGATGGAAAGAAATAGGTTAGATCACTGCTGTGAATTCCAGGGAAGAGGGGATAAATTCCAGAGTCAGGCATTGGCTACCAAGGGGAAATGAGTGGATTAATTGGAGAAATAATTTACATGTAGAAATAGAAGGTAATAAGAGCCATTTTGTTTTCCCGAATAAATGAGAGAGAAATCGAGGGAGTTGTTTCTGACTGATTAACCTAGAAGGTACTGGTACTGTTTAAACCACAGTGGGAAACAAAGGCAGTGGGTCAGACTGAGGGAAAGGAGATAATAGACTCAGTTAGAGGCATTTTAGGTTTGCTGTGTGAGCAAGACATGCCTTTTACACTCAGAGAAACAGTTGAGGCTATAAGTCTGGAACTTAAGAGGGACCAGGGTTTGAGTCATAGGTCTCCTGGGAACTATTTGGGAAGTGTGAGTAAAATTAGTTAAAAAGGACTGTCAAATAGAACATCAATCAATTTTAAATCACCTAGGAATGCAGTTCCACTAAATAATTATGACCTTCTTATATCAGCTGCAAATTTTTAAAATTTAACTAAATAATAGATGAGAAAAAAGAAACATCAAAAGATTGATTCGAGTAAGGTTTTTAAAATATACCCTGCTATATTTTCAGAAGTTTTATTTTCCCTTTTATGTATCAAATTGTTAAATTATGACAACCACATCATAGTCAATAGTTTCATTTTAATATCAAAAAAGAACAATTTGGAGCCTCTGTGAATAAATACCTCATAAAGCAAAATTGGGGCACATGTCCATTACATTCCTGAACCAATCAGTGGCAAAAAGAAAGGGATTACCCCTTGGATCATAATACACTTCCTGTAGGAAGAGCGGAGTAGTGTTTACCCAAAGATAGTCAGGATTCTCTTGGGGAAAGAACAGGAGCAGACATTGTGAAGACAAAACGTATTGTCCATTATATTGTATTTATCTGGGTAAGTGAGTAAATAGTAACAGCAGTAATAGAAGATGCATTTCAACCCTTAAAATTGTGTAGTATTCTAAAATGTATTAGTTCTTCTTGAGTGAATAAAATTTATAAAGGATTATTGTCTCCAGGGTTATTATTTTGGATTAGCATAAATCATCTTTACAAAAAAATACCCATGTAAAATATGTATAGAATTGAACTAAGTACAACATCACAAAATACATTGGAAGATGTTTTAATGATTTTTATGATATATTTATAATATTTTAAGAATGTAAGTTTACAAGGGAGAAAAGTTGTTTGTTTTGCTTATTTGTGAACATACAGTGTCTAAAACAATACTTTCCACATGGTAAACTTTCAATAAATATCTGTGGAATGAATAAATGAGGAAAATTTTTATGGCACATTAGTTGTAATGTTTATCCCTCTCTGACAAAAAAAAAAGAATTTCCTCTAAATATTTTAGATCTGATTATCAGGTAATTAATTTACTTTGATTCTACTATTCCTTTTTTTGCAATGTTCTCATTTGTCCTTCAACTTCATCCAAAGTTCTGGGTTTAGTCATATTGCCTTATTTCCTTTCTTGGCTTTCAAATACCTTGGTATAATTTGTTTGAGTGGGCAGAACTATATTCTTTTTGATAGCTAAGTTCCTTGAATTCCAGTTTCTAAAAGAAGCCCAAGGATTTATTATTGTACTAGTTTTCAAGCTCGATATAGTTAGCTTTCTCAAGTTTATTTCCATAATCATTCCAACATTTAGCTTTCTTTCCTTTAGGGAAAGGAATTCAATTCTATCCATTTGCAATTATTTCCTCCAGGTTTCCTTCTACTACTAGAGGCCCATCTAAGTTTTCCTTATGACCAAGTATCAGGTCTGATGTCTGCCCTGGGGAATGCTACCATAGCCTCTACCACAGAAGACCGAGCTAGGAGATCTCATTCTTTCCACACTACTCTCTCATCAATATTCACATGTTGGTATGTGCCTCTCGACCCTTATCTTTGTTTAAAATTGCTTTAAATTGGCTAAGGGAAAACTTATCAACCTTCCTTCACTGTTTTATTGATTTACATGATTTATATTTCAAATATTGTTGTTTCAGGTGCTCTTACTGTGTTACCTTTAACCCAATTACTCTTCCTAAATAATCCCATTACTAAACCTTTATTCTGGATTTATAAAGGCATTGATTTTATAAGTAATTAGGGAATGTTCTTTCTTTCTTAAGCCGGTTCCTAGTGCCATTCTACTAGTTGTCAGTTATTTTAATAGCATCTTAACTCTGGCCCTGAGATGGGACCTTCAGATACTCCTGATTAATTCAAAAGGCACATCAGATCATACTGGCACAGTTGTACAAAAATTTCCTTACAAAGAATATAGTAATGTAATAGAGATATTGTAAGTCTATCATACAATAGGCATTAAAGTGTATAAATGTGACTTTTCACAGTAAGCAACTTTATGAAAATGAAATTATCTAGGATAGACCTGGAGAGTATTATGTTAAGTGAAATAAACCAGTCAAAGAAAGATAAGTACCATATAATTTCACTTACATGTGGAATCTATTGAGCAAAATAAACTAGCAAAATAGAAACAGATTCATAGACAGAGAATAGACTGAGAGCTGTCAGCGAAAAGAGAAGGGTTGAGGGTCTGTGTGAAAAGGTGAAGGGACTAAGCAAAACAGCAAAACAAAATAAAACAATTCATAGACACTGACAACCAGAGAGAAAGCAAGTAGTACAGGACATAGGGAGGATAAATGCTGATGGAAGGAGACTTGACTTGGAGTGGTGCACACACAGTACAATATACAGATGGAGTATTGTAGAATTGTACCCCGGAGACCTATATAATATTATTAATCAATGTCACTGGAATAAAAATTTTAAAAATAGGTTTCAAAAAATCAAAGACAGTGAGCATATAAGAGTGACAAAAAAAGACAAAAAATTTTCAAGTGATTTGTATTGGAAAGGAAAAAATAAGGGATAAAAGATTTGGAGAGAACCTAGGGAGGAATTAAATGAATGGCTAAATCTATTTAACACATTAAACAAGATGACAGTGGACCAATAACTAAGATAAGAAAATCATCATTTTATACAAATGTAAAAATGCCTCAGATAGTTTTTATTAATTCTTTTTGTTTCTTTAACTAAAATATTTTGCATGTTACTATGTGTGAGTTCTCTGTGAGAAAAGACAGAGATAAATAGCATGTGATACTTGCCAAGAAGAAGATTATAATCTTGGAATGAAAGATAGTTTATACAAGGATTTTTTCTCTCTCTTTTATTGCATGTCCATGATAGAAATCATAATGAGTATGCTGAGAATGCAAAGAAAGTTTGGTAGAAGAGTCATATATCCTTAGACAAATGAGGACATTATTCAGGGGTAAAAATATCTATTTATACATATTTGAATGTCATCTTAAGTAAGGTCATGCTGACTGCACCAAGGCAAGAGTGTTCCATTGCTGTATATATATCTCAAGCACAGACTGTGAGAGGAGAGCATTAGAGAGATAACCACAGCCTAGAGTGTGGATATTTTCATTCAAAGTTCAGCCTATAAAGCACAGAAACCTTTGGTTCTTTAAATAGGACTGCCCAGAAAAATCACCAGAACACAGGTGTGGCAGATGGCTAGCACCTTATCAGGTCAGTGGATGAAAAGAGAACAAAAGATGGATGTAAGAAAGACATTCGAGAGTTAGAAAGCCACTGGGTTGATGACTTCTTCCATCTTGAAGAACTACAGGTTATAGTGTGGATGAGCAGTACATTTACGGCTGGAAAAAAGTTACTATTTTCTTCTGGGATGTGTCCCCACCCCACGTATGCTGCTGGTCAAGATACTTCCTCAATAGTGCCTTCACTTACCCCAGTATGCCCTAAATGTCCTACTGGGTATCTTCAAATTAACTTCAATAGAATGTCTTACTTTGTTTAAATTGTGTATATTAAATTCCTTAAAAGAAGAATCAGATAATAGCTTTTGTTTTCTTCAGTATTTTTAAAAAAGGTACGTGTTTGAGTTTTATGGAAGTTCACAAAGAGAAACCATCTTATGATAGCCATGTTCACGTGAACACACTTTGGTATCTCCTGAGTTAAAACTGAAGTCTACGTGTCTGTGAGCTCCATGCCATGTTTCAGTAATTCCCATCCCTTTTTTAACTGTGTTCAAAGAAAACCTCTAAGGAGTTCTCTACATTTGCTCTCTCTGCTTTCTCAGCAACAATTCCCTCTTCAACCTACACCAATGTGGCTTTACTCCCAAGCATGGCCCCCAGCATGTCATTTAACCTACTCTGGCCGAGGTCACTCACAATCCCAAGGATGCTAAATCCATCTATTTTCCCTCATCTTACTAGCCCCCCTCTTAGCAGCATTTGACAAAGCTTGCCATTTCTTCCTTCCTCAAACACTGGCTCTTCTTGGCTTTAGTGACACCACACTGTTTATAGCTCCCATATCTATCATCATGGGTGATAGATTTACATATTTCTCTTTACCATGGTTCTAACTTCCTTTTTCTATTTCCATTTGTGATATACCTTAAATCCTTCTGGGAAAGAGAATGTATATAGTTAAGATAAAATATTAAATAGGCAATCAACAGTATTGGCTCTCTTATGGTTAAAAAATGTCAGTGTAATACAGTCAGTAATGAAATAAATTTGTACAATGACAGTTAATAGACTTACAATGGTTATCACATTGTAAGATATATAAATGTAGAATCATTATGTTATATACCTGAAGCAAATGTAATATTGTACATCAACTCTAATTAAAAAGAAAGTACCCATAACCATGAACCTAAGTAAATACAGTTGTATGTCTAAGTATGTTATCTAAAAAGATACACACTGTCAACAGTGTCAAATAAAGAGCACTTGTATTTATACACAGAATACATAAAGAGTCACATATTTCTTGTAAAATATAAACTAGAGAAAATGAGAGCAACAATAAAATTCAGGCTCAAAAAAGCCTCAGAGACCACATGCCACTGAATCCTTTCATGTAAAAAAAATCCATTTCCTTAGGGAAAGCTTCTCATTAACCTTGAGATCTAGTAGCAGCTGCTATAAAATATTCCTAACGTGAATACATGGCACAACTTATCACTGTGGCCCTGGATGTAATCACAGAACCCTTGGCTATGAGCTGGAGCAAGTGGATTAAAAATTGTGGCATTGCACCTTGACTCTCAGGATGGACAAGGGATGTCCATCCTGCAGCCTACAGGCTGCATACAGCCCAGGATGGCTATGAATGTGGTCCAACACAAAATCATAAATTTACTTAAAACATTGAGATCCTTTTGTGCTTATGTGTCGCAATGTATATAATGTGTGGCCCAAGATAAGTCTTCTTCCAGTGTGGCCCAGAGACACCAAAATGTTGGACACCCCTGCATCTAGGGGATGATTAATTTAGGCCTCTCTAGGCAAAGGAAGCACAGCACTTACATAGTTACTCAAAGATCTTGCTTCAAATACATTTTACAGGGAGATTATAAACTAAACAGTAAGTGATCAAGAATAGGCAAATGGAACATTGTACCAACAGGTGTCTCTAAATAAAGGTGAGTTCTACTGATTTTCCAAAAGATTGGAAATGGAATGCTGACAACTTTTTGTGACATTTTATTCCTTCTGAGAAGAGTAGTTATGTTCACATCTGAAAGGTCAATAAAATTCTTGGTTAAGAAAAAGTTTTCATAGAATTCAGAGGCACTCTCGTGGAGTTTGGACTTCAAATATCTCTTTCCTGGATGGCTTTTCCAAGAGTAAGATTATCCCAAAGATAATTCAATAACTGTTTGCTGAATAAATATAGAAAAAGTTTTCTTAACTTAAAATATAAAGAAGTCAATTTAGGAGAAATGTAGTAATTAGGCAATGGGTATTTTTTCTGTTAAAATGTATCAATATGTAATATGTATCAAAATTTTTGTTTTACTTGCTGACTTTCACCTCAGAAACTTGCCTGTAGCAATCAGTCCAATGAAAATAATTAGAAATATGTACAAGAAATTATGGAAAGGACATTGATGAAACTGCCTGGCTCTCCCCATACCCCCAGGCAAAGCCAGAGATACACTTGTGCTAGTGTGGTAATTCCAGGATGGAGGAATCAGGGATGGGAGAGATTGACAGATGGAAAAAAAGCTATAATAAGTGCCTATTGTCAAGGTCAACAGCTAGAGCTTTAATCTACCAGGGATCTCCTCAAAAGACTGTGGAATGCTTCTCAGAATTTTTCTCTCAAGGATCAACTGAGAGAAGAATTTGTCCATGAGGGTCCCTTGGGTGGGGACCACTGTCTGGCATTATCTCTCCTCTCCATCCTCTTACAGTCTTCATGGATCAGTGCCAATTCTTGGGCATTCTAGATTTCATAGCAAAAGAACAAGCCCTGCTTTGGGACAAATGCTATCAACCCAGAGTGAATTAAAATCAAAACAAAATGGTCTACTACAGTTGCTGGAATCAATAGTAGGTCTGGAGCATAGGAGCAGGATGTCAGAGGCATTAAAGGCAAAAACTATGGTGCTTATTTTTCAATAAGGCTTAAACATTGGGAAATGACCAAATAAACCAAATATACATAAAATGTAGTTTGGTTACTTTTAATAAATAGCCGATATGCTCAAATATTTTACAACCACTTAAATATGTTTTAGAAGAATATTTATTTATTTTGGAAATTGTTCACATATTAAGTAAACAAACATAATAAAAATCTTTATAGGTATTAATCATTTGTATATATCCATAAAATAATTGTAAAATATATATAAACATATTAACAGTGGTTATTTATAGGTAGTGAGATTATAGGTTACCTTCATTTTCTCTCCTGTGTTTTTCCACATTTCCTAAATGTTTTACCAAGGGCATGTAGCATTTTAGTAACTAAAACTCAATGCAAAAAAGCTTCCTTATATAGAA